TGACAGTGATGGCCCTAATGGAGTAAAGCCCTCGGGACCTTCATTTGCTCATGGGGCACAACTCAAAATGAAGAAAAACAACTGCAACATCCATTAAAAATCAGAACACAGAAAGCATAATGTATAAATCTAGGAAAATAGGAAATTATCAAAAATGAAATGAAGCACATAAACATTGATACCCTAGGTATTAGTGAGCTGAAATGGACTGGTATTGGACATTTTGAATCTGACAATTAAATGGCTTAGTATGCCAGGAATGACAAATTGAAGAGGAGTGGTGTGATATTCATCATCAAAAAGAACTGCTGTCTGTGATAGGATAATATCCATTTGCCAACAAGGAAGACTAGTTAATACCACTATTCAAATTTATGCAACAACCATAAAAGCCAGTGATGATAAAATTGAAGGATTCCACCAGCTTCTGTAATTTGAAATTGATCAAACATGTGATCAAGTTGTACTGATGATTGGAAAACAAAGGTCGGAAACAAAGAGGAAAGTTACAAAATATGGCCTTGATGATAGAAATGCTGTGGGAGAGGGCATGATAGAATTTTGCAAAACCAATGACTTTTTCATTGTTAATACCGTAAATACCTTTTTTAAACTACATAAAAGATAACTATGCACCTGGACTTCATCAGCTGGAATGCACAAAAACTAAATTTCTTCAACATGTGGAATATACAGAAAGAAAAGACTGGAAAAACTCCATATCATCAGTCAAAACTAGGCCAGGGGCAGACTGTGGAACAGACCATCAGTTGCTCATATGCAAATTCAGGCTGAAACTGAAAAATATTATAACAAATCCATGAAAGTCAAAATATGACCTTGAATATATCCCATCTGAATTTAGAGATGATCATCTGAAGAACAGATTTGATGCATTAGACTCTGAAGACTGAATACCAAAAGAGTTCTGACATGACATCAAGAACATTATACAGGAAGAAAGCAAAAGGCCATTAAGAAGACAAGAGGAAAAGACTCAAATGTATGTCACAAGAGACTCTGAAACTTGCTCTCTAGCTTAGACATGTTAAAGCAAATGGAAGAAGTGAGGCAATACAAGAATTAAACAGACTTTTTCAAACAGTTTGAGAAGACAACATCAAATACTGTAAGGAGATGTACAAATAACTGGAGTTAGAAAAACAGAAAGAGAGGGGAACACTCAGCATTTCTTAGTTTGAGGGAACCAAAGAAACATTTCAAGCCTTGACTTGTGGTATTGAAGGATTCTATGAGCAAAATATTTAAAAATGCAGAAAGTTTGAAAGGAAGATGGAAGGAATAGACAGAGTCACTGTACCAAAAAGAAATGGTCGATGTTTAACTATTTCAAGAAGTAGCATATGATCAAATCCAATAACACTGAATGAAGAAGTCCAAGGTACATTGAAGGCATTGGCAATCAACATGGCTCCAGGAATTCATGGAATGCAAATTGTAATCTTCAACAAATTCATGAGGTACTGGAGGCACTCACTCATCTATGTCAAGAAATTTGGAAGTCAACTAGTTGGCCAACTGACTGGAAGATATGCAAGTAAAGTTTTACTAAAGATAATGCAAAAAGATTTGCAAACATAAATTGACAGAGAACATCCAGGGTTTCAAGCTTATTGTATCTTTATACCATATTTTTTCAATGTCTATGTTGAACAATTAATCTGAGAAACTGAATTATATAAAGAAAAACATGGCATCAGGCTTGGATGTAGACTCACTAACAATCTAAGATATCCAGATGACACAATCTTGCTTGCCAGAAGCAAACAGAACTTTAAATATTGATGCATATCAAGGAATACAATCATCAGTATGAATTGCACCTTAGTGAAAAGAAAATGAAAACCATTCTAAATGGAGAAAAGACTGAAGTTGTGACAGACTTCATTTTGCTTGGATCCACAATCCATGTTCATGGAAGCACAAGTCAATAAATCAATTGATGTATTGCAGTAGGCAAATCTGCTGCAAAAGAGCTCTGTAAAGTGTTCAAATCAATGATGTCACTTTGAGGACTAAGGTGTTCCTGCCCCAAGATATGGTATTTTCAATTGCCTCATATATATGTAAAAGTTAAGCAATGAATAAGGAAGACCAAATAAGAAGTTACTGTCGGTGAAGAATATTGAAAGAATCCTGGACTTCCAGAAGAACACACATAGTTATCTTGTACAATCAGAATGCTCCTTAGAAACAAGGAGAACGAGATACTGTCTCTCATTTTTTAATGTTTTCTGGAGAGACCATTCTCTGAAGAATGACATTATATTAGATGAAGTGGAGGGTCATTAGAAAAGAGGAAGACCCTCAATGAGATGGATTGATGCAATTGGCAGGAAAAATGGGCTTAAGAATAACAATTGTAAGGATATAGCAAGACCAGGAAATATTTAATTCTCTTGTGCATAGGATAGCTATGGGTCAGAACTAACTGGATGACACCTAACAACAACAACATATGTATATGTAAAACTGTTCATAAATATCATGCTTTTTAGCTACATGCACACATAAAATACTTACCAGACTTAAGAACAGGATTTATAATTAATGGGCATATAAATGTGCTTTCAAAAAACATGTGCAGCTACAAGGTTTTCCAGCAAATTATCCAAGGCAAAGCAAAGTATGAAGACAGTCAAATTTATCATTGTCATATTCAGTGGTACCTGACTTCTCTTTGAACGTTGGAATATAAATTGTTTTCCTCACTCTGAAATCTCTAGAGTGCCTTTAGTGTAGAATAGCTTCAAAACAACACAAAATGACGGACAGTCACCAGATTCAGAAAGTGATCAGAAAATGAATCTGCCAATTTTCTTTTTGAAATCACATAGTTTTTATTATCATTTTTTCAAATCTTTAAATTTTTCTTTATAGGTCAGATGTCTCTCTTCATCCATTCATGTAATTTTCCAGTCACCAGATCCAGATTAAAAAATCTAATACTTTAACTACCCTCTTGGACTCATTAGAATCAAAATATAATCTTTTTAACACAGATAACAAACTACATTCCTTTGGATCAAAGTCAAATATGTTATAGCCACAGTAACACTGACATAGAAAGGAAACACAGTACTGTAGCTCATCCCATCCAGTAACAGAGATAGTTCATATATATAGAAGATGGTACATATATTGGGAGGGAGATATAGAAAAGCAGTATGTTTACAACAAGTTAGATAGTCAATAAAACTTATTTTATTATTATGTAGAAATTAATATAACAGGTTTAATATTTATTTTTACTTTAACTGTTCATACTTTATTCTCTTAAAATCTCAACTGATTCCTCCAAGGAAGACCACTTGATATTTACCATAATACATTGTCCCTCACTACCAAAATAAAAACAGATTCCTGCTATAGGATCAGTACTGGACTTCAAACCACAAGGTTGGCAATTCAAACCCACTCGCTGCTCACTGTAACCCTTTGCAGGGTCGCTATGAGTAGAAACAGACTCAACAGCATTTAACAACAACAGCAACAATAATTCTTTTAAAATAACATGTTCAATAAATATCAATTGAATTTCAAAACATTGAAAAGTTGAGGAAAAAAAGTTTATGGAAATAGGGGAGTGTTATAGATAGAACTTGCTGTGTTCCCCGTGGCTGCAGGAATGCAGAAATATAAGATAATGGAGAAGATTGGAGAAAGTACCTATGGAACTGTATTCAGAGCCAAAAACCAAGACACTCATGATCATAGCTCTGAAATCGGTGAGTGAAGATAATGATGATGAGGGAGTACAAAGTTCTGCACATCAGGAAATCTGCCTACTCAAAGAGCTGAAATACATGAACATTGTCAGTTTCCACGACATCATGGTGGAGGCACCTTGGCGGGATTCTAGACAAGAAGTTTGCCTTGAATTTTGAGTTCTGTGACCAGGACCTGAACAAGTATTTTTACAGCTACAGTGGTGACCTGGACCCTGAAATTGTGAAGTCATTCCTTTCCATCTGCTAGAAGACCTGGAATTCTGTCATAGCCTAAATGTGTTGCATAGGAACCTGAAGCCCCAGAACATGCTCATAAATAGGAATGTGGAGTTGCAATTGGCAGGTTTGGGATTGGCTTCAACCTTTGGGATCTCTGTTTGCTGTTACTCAGCTGAGGTGGTCACTCTTTAGAGCCAGATGTCCTCTTTATAGCCAAGCTATACTCTATGCCCATTACCATATGGTAAGTCGGCTACATCTTTGCTGAGCTGGCCAATTCCCCTATTTCCTGGCAATTATGTAGATCTTCATAAATATTCAGGCTGCTAGGATGCACACCAAGGAGCAGTGACCTGCCATGACCAAGCTAACAGATTATGAACCCTATTAAATACACCTGACCACCAGGTCTCTGTTGAATGTCATGTGAAAAAGTTTAACACCACAGGAAGGGACCTGTCCAGTAAATCTCAGCAGAATAGCTCTACAGCATTCTTACTTCTCCTACTTCTCAGACTCCTGTCCACCTTAGACTCCAGGACCTCTGATGCCAGACTGGGGCCTGGTCTATGTAAAGCCCTCCAGGTAAGGGAGGGTACACCATACTCTGGGGCTCCAGTGGTCATGGGACCAGCAAGGGTGGAGGCACCCTGGCTGGATTCTTTACTCCCTCTGTGCACTTTAATTTCACGAATTGGCTCCTTTCTCTCTCTCTCTCTCATACACACACAAGTTTATAGAAATAGTAATATGATTCAAAAACATGTTTAACATAGTAAGAGCCAAGATCTTATTCATTTTCTTTATTACAATATCCTCTAGTCCTACAGTAGCTGTTGAATGAATATATGTTACTCTTTGAAGCCTGATACAAACAGTGGATTAATGTGTTCATTGATGCCAGTTCAAGTAGTAAGCTAATTCTGTGGACATTATTACTATTTTAAGTAAAGTATATGCTACTTAAAACTTGATAGTATTTAAAAAGCTAAATATATTGTTTAATATAAATTATTTTCTTATTTTCAGGTATTTCTGGCTGAATACACAGGACCTCTGCTAATATACCTCCTTTTTTATTTGAGGATCCCATATATATATGATGCTAAAGAGAGTTCTAGAATATTATGCCATCCAGTGGTACAGTAAGTAATACTAATTCCAGTAAGAGTTGCTCTGGTGTCACTTCCCAAGCATTTTTATGTTAGAACTGTGCTCCATAATGTTTTCATTTTTGTACCATTTCAGAAGATCACCAATGAGAACATCAGATTCACACTCATTGTTTCATTTCAATGATTACAGTTTTCTCTGTGTGTAATCATTCAACAGTGTTTGCTTCTATTCCATCTGGTTTTTATTTTTGTTTTGTTTTGTTTTGGGGGGTGTACAGAAAAACACTAAGGAATATATAATCATTTAAACAACGAAAGGGCACATTCTGCAAGCCTGCCTCCTGGCTGCCAGCACACAGTCTTTCTCTTTCCCTAAGTCCAGAATCCTCATCTGCTCCCTCTATCAATGTCCTCAACTCTACCTCGATTGCTGGTGTCCCTGCTTCTCTAAATAGGGTCCTATATTCCACTTGTGATCTTCTCCCTTGATGGCCTTAGGCTCCTCTGTTTCTAGACTGTACAATTAACTACTCCCCAGCTTTTGTTACAAAACTTTTACCTTTACAATTGTGACAGTTGCAATTAGACATGATAACAGTTACTCACTATTGACTCATAAGAATCTTATCCCCATCTCTTTTCAACTGACCTGTCTGGAAAAGATGAAAACTATCCATTAGGAACCCTATCTGCCCCTGCACACTCTTAAACTAAACTCCCTTTTGAAAACTTGTAAGCCAGTAACTTCGTGTCTTTATTGCCCACTTATTTTAGGTACACAATGTCTAAGTTGTCCATCCCTATGTACCCTGTATACAGAGGGAATAGGATTGATACTTGACATGAAGACTCTTTCCCTCTCTGTTGAGATTTTGAGCTACTACATCCATGAGTATAAGTTAAGTTCATCAAATTGTATCAATTCACCCTCATTTCCTTTATCATTTTTTTTCCCCCCCCATTGGGATTGACTTCAACCTTTGAGATTCCCATTTGCTGTTACTCAGATGAGGTGTCCACTCTTTAGAGCAAGATGCCCTCTTTACAGCCAAGCCTTTTCTGCATTAATCAATGCAGATTGATCATGTGATTCTTTTCCTTTTTGTTGTATTATAATTGATTATTTTTCTAATGTTGAACCATCCTTGCAACACTGGTATGAATCCCACTTGATCATGATGTATTATTTTTTTTGATGTGCTGTTGAATTCTGTTTCCTAGGACTGTGGTGAGAATTTCTGCATGTATGTTAATGAGGGATATTTGACTATAATTTTCTTTATTATTGATAACCTTCCCTGGTTTTGGTATGAGGGTTATGTTTGTGTCATAGAATATATTCAGAAATTTTCCATTCTTTTCTATATTTTGAAATAATTTGAGTAGAATTGTTGACTGCTCTTCCCTGAATGTTCGGTAAAACTCACCAGTGAAGTCATCTGGTCCTGGACTTTTTTTGTTTGGGAGTTTTTTTGATGACCTGGTCAACTTCTTACTATGTTATGGATCTTTTTCAATTTTTACTTGACTCAGTGTAAGTTTAGGTAGGTCCTGGTTGTCTAAAAATGTATCCATCTGCTCTAGTTTAATTTTTGGAGTACAACTCTTCATAATATTCTATTATTATCCTTTTTATTGCTATTGGTTCTCTTGTGACATCATCCATGTGATTTCTTATACATGTCATTTGTTTATTCTTTCTCTTTTCTTTTGCTAAGTTTGCCAATGATTTGTCAATTTTATTAATTCTTTCAAAGAACCAGCTTCTTGTGCTGTTGATATAGTTTTTTTCTGTTTTCTATCTTGATTATTTCTGCTTTAAACTTTATTACTACCTTTCTTCTGTTGACTGTAGATTTACTTAGCTGGTTTGTTTCTAGTTGTTGGAGATGTTGTGTTAATGTATCGGTTTTGTTTCTTTCTTATTGTTGGATTTGTGCAATTATTGCAATAAACTGTCCTCTCAGCACTATTGTGCCATGTCCACAAGGTTTTGGTAGGTTGTGTTTTCATTCTCAAATGTTTTTGAGAACTTTGTGTGTTCACATTTTACTTCTTCTACTACCTAGTCACTTTTCAGCACGGTGTTGTTATTCAGTTTCCATGTAGCTGACTTTATTTCCTTGGTCTTACTATTGTTGATTTCTAATTTGATATAGCATTGTGGTCTGAGAAGATGCTTTGTAGTATTTTAATGTTTGTAAATTTATGGAGGCTCATTTTGTGACATATCACATGGTCAATTCTATAGAATGATGCATGCACACTAGAAAAGAATGTGTATTGTACTGTTGTTGGGTTGGCTGCTCTGTACACATCTATGAGGTCCACTTGGCTGATTGTGTTGTTTACTACCTTGTGTCTTTTTTGAGTCTCTTTCTGTTGTTCTATCCATTTTTGAAAGTGGTATATTAACATGCTGTTGAAAGTGAAGAGGACTTGTAGATTTGTCTTTTTGTTCCCCTCAAATCTATTAGAATTTGCTTTACATGTTTTGAAATCTTTCATTTTGAACAAAGATATTTATTATGTTTATGTCATCTTTATCAATTGTCCCTTTAATCATGAGATAATGTTCATCTTTATCT